TCAGCTCATTGTTCATATGAAGATTGTAGCTTGGTAATGGTTTCTTATAACATGAAAAGGTTCTTAGAGCCTAAATTAATGGAGTTGATAGCTGCAACCATAAATAAGAAAAATGATAGGCAATTTACAGTTCAATTAGTGCAAGAAATGCTCAAATATAGGGAAAACATGAATCAAATGTTAAAGGTATAACTTAAGAAGACACAAAGCATCATGAAAATTTATACAAGCAAGAAACGTACAAAGAAAAATTGCAAATGGGATAAAAGATTTACCTAAAACTACAACCCTACCAGCAAATATCCTTGGCTCTTTGAGGAACTTAAAACTGGTTGCTCGAGTTTATGGCCCCTGCACAGTAATTCGAGAAATGGGATCAATAGCCTACAGATTACAACTACGAGACACTTCAAGAGTACACCCAATGTTTTACATCAGTTTCTCTAAAAGAAAAGAAATAGAAATTGTTACCTCATTAGACCTCCTAAATTGGGGTCAAATGGCCAACTGAAGGTCTCTCATGTTATTGTTTTAGATAAGCGTACAGTGAAGAAGAAGAACCAGACCATCATTCAATTATTGGTGCAGTGAAAGAATTTGGGACCTAAAAACACCAACTGGGAGGATTATATGGTGCTAAAGAGGCAGCTTTCGGATTTTGATCCTTGGGGACAAGAATCGTTTGAAGGGGAATGAATTGTAATGGTCAAGGTTCAAAATGAAGAAATGATGAAGAAAGTAAAGGGTTAGGGATTTGTAAACTAAAATTGGGGGAAATTGAGAATTGGAAAAATGCGAGCATTATATTTGGAGATGGAAACGACAGACTTTTGATATCTAGCAATGATGTCAAGGAGAAGTGGGCTAAAGCAACAAACCGAGAGAAGACTCCAACAATAAACACTTTGATGAATGTTCAACAGCAGCCTGATCAATGAGGGCCAAGTAATAGTAATTATCCCGTAAATGAGACAAAAATTATTTTGTTTTAGGGCAGTTGGAAATTACATTGTAATGAATAAAAGGATGTACAAACAATCAAAAAGGATATTTGAATATTGAATGAAGTTATATTTTCTTAAATCTTTATTCCCTTAATCTTCTCTTCTCTTACTCTCTCAATTTCTACTTTCTTTGATCATCTTTTTTTCGATTCTCTTAGTTCATGACATAAAATCAACTTTTTATCCATAATCCCATGCCACATTGAAGAGAACTAAGGTGTGTTTGGTTGGGGGAATGTGAGATTCCCATGTGAATGTAATCCACATTCCCCGTTTGGTTGGGGGAATGTTATTCCGGTAATCTTACATTACCAATAGTGGATTTTTTGGGGTATATTACCGGGAATGTCATACCTCCCTTTCCTTAGGTATTGTTGGATTACCGACGTTTTGGACTAAAATGCCCTTAAATTTTTTTTTCTTTAAAAAATATCCTTATTCTATCATTGAATAATAAAATTTCTACGAATGTTAAATTACAAATTTATCCTTAAACTATTTTAGATTTACAAAAGAAAGTCTATAATTAAAATTTTATATGAAATTCAGGGTTAAAATAAAATTTTACCCTTTCATTAAACATTTTTATATTTTCAATTTTGTAAAAATATATATATAAATTTTATGAAATTATTTTTTTAAAAAGAAAATATATAAATATTTTCCAACTTGTTAAAAAACAAATATATAATAAGGACAATTTGGTCGAATATACATTCAAATAATATTTTATTCTGTTAAGTTAATCGATCGATGAAATTGGCCAAAAGGGGGGTGAATTGGCAATAAAAAATTTTGGTGGAAGCTTTTGCAAAAAATTGAAAATATTTGCACAACGATTTAGAGTGGTTCGACTTTCTCAACCAAAGTTTACGTCCACTACCTTAGCTATCCACACTAAGGATTTTCCAACAAATTCACTAATTTGTTCTTTCTTTTGAGGACAAAGAGTAACCTTACAACTCCCTCAAGAATTATACCCCAAATTCTTGAGCACACTCTTTTTCAAAGAGAAATATACAAATTTGCAAACTTACAAGGAAAACCTCACAAGGTAGATTGTTTGCACAATTCTAGAACAAAGAAAGAACACTCAAGAATAAATACAATAGAGCACAAATGGTGTTCTTGAAAGTACAATGAATATTGAATGAAAAATAGGCTTGAAGTGCTCAAACAATGAGTTTGATGCTTTCTCTTTGATTCTATCTCAATTCTTGATAATTGTTGTTGATCAATAGCTTCTAAACTTGTTTATAAACTCCTTCAATTGATTCTAAACGTTGAGGATCATTAGTGGAGTCAATAGAGTCGTTATTGTGTGAAAATAATTAATAAAACAACCTGGAGCGTGGGGGGAATCGGTTCCTGCAGTGTAAAATTCAAATATTTCAACCGTTAGACAGGGGGAATCGGTACTCCCTGGGGGGGGGAATCGGTTCCCTCCAAGCATTATGTTTTTCTCGGAGCCAAACCATTCAGGGGGGAATCGATACCCCCTTGGGGAGGAATCGGTTCCCTCTGAGCAATCTGGAATTTTTGGCTTTGAAATGGTTCGAAATACTTTGTAAAATTGTTTTGAAATTATTTTAAGATTAAAACTTAATTTTACACTTGAGTAAGGATTAAAAATGACATTTGAAAGATTTGGAGTAATATTTTGATATTCGAATAATTATATCGAATATACTTAGAAAATCTTTTGGAAAATCTTAAAATTCATTTAACTTAATTTGTTATATCGAGATATCAAAATGTTTTCAACAATCTCCCTCTTTTTGATATAACAAAACATTTTAGTAATTTTAAGATTTTGAAATCAAGTTTGAAATTACTCCCCCTTACTCTAACACTTCTCCCCTTTAAAACACTTCTCCCCCTTTTTGTTAAATAAAAAAGACTTTAAAATATTTTAAACAAGGTTTTGAAAAAGCATAGCCAAGTGATTATAAATATAGCTTAAGCTGCTAAGATCAAAGATCAAGAGAAAAGTTAGCCATTAGTTTCATAATCACTATTCATGAATAATGTGAAATGGCAAAGTTTGTCATATATCTAACATGATGTAAATGATGCAATAATGAATGAATTTAACCAAACCAAATATATTGAAATATAAGTTCAAACATCCATAAACCATCAAACAAATTCAAACATCCAATAATCAAAGTTAAAAAATCCAAAAGTATTCAAAATGTTGAAAACAATAAGTTTGAAGTTTTGATCCAAGAAAGCTAAGCAAGAAACATGGCCTAATCATCTATCGGTGCATCAGGAGGAGATAAATGTGACCAAATGTTAGTCACATCATGTGAAAGTGCATCGACCCTTTCATCTAAAGTGTCAAAATGACGATTCAGTGTTTCGGTTGTAGCAGTCAGATTTGAATCGATGGATGCAAACATCAAATCAATGTTCTCTATAAATGATCGGAAGTATGGAGGCACTTGATCTTCTTGCTGTACTTGTTCCTCGTGCTACTCCGGCTCATCATCGGAGTCGTCTGCTTCAGGAGGTTGCTCACCGGTACGAACCCAAAGACCAGTTTCTTCATTGATCTTCCATCCCGATTTAGTTAAAGAAAATAAGTTGATTTGGTTTTTGAGGGGAAAGGAAGCATCAAGACCAACTCTAAGTCCAACCTTTTTGAACAGATTACTAAGAATACAACCGTAAACTAAAGATGAACATAATTTCTTATTGGGAACAAGATTTAAGGTTTCGGCAAGTTCAACAAAGATAATCTGTGGAAGGTTGATTTTAAGATTATTTTGGACACAATGTAGTTAAAATAAATCCAAGGCTCGAAGAGTGGAGTATCGGCCTCCGGATGGTCGAAACCACCAAGAGATCATCAGATGAAGAAAACGGTCATGAAGATCTAAAACACTCGCAATATCTCTTCATTTATACTGAGATCCTACCGTTAGTTTTTCATTATCTAACCCGTCATTATCTAATCCTAATATGGTGGCAATGTATTCCGAGTCAAGATGAAAGAATCATCCTAGAAGATAGGATCGGATTCCTATGGTTAAGGTTTTATCTCGGTTTTGAATGCAAATGGCATTAGAGTAGAAGATACGAATAAGTTGAAAAGTATACTTCTCATGCTCACTAAGAACCGTAATCAAACATGGTTGTTTACCTCCATTTTTGTTCTGTTTTTCAGCTACTGTTGGTTGACTCTTCACTGACTGAGGTGAATCTTTCTCCTCAGCTGCTTGATTGACCAGCTGTAGGATCCTCTGTAAATACACCCTATTTTCAGTCATTCCATCCTCCAATGCTTGAATCCTCCCTTCCAGCTCTTCTTTCTGCTCCGCCCACCAAGAAGGTAAAGTCTCCTCCTTAGCCTCCACTGCTGATTGTTCTGGTACTTCTGTGATTCCAGTTTTTTTTTTTTTGTCTTTCCCAGCGTGAAAAATTGCTTTTGGATCACTAAAACTCAGCTCTGATTACCAATTTGTTATGTTTCCGGGTCAAATAAGAGAGAATTTTAGGGATTTAAGAAGTGTAGAGAGAAATAGATACAGAAAACTTGTAATTCATTCATATATAACCCTTAAAGGATTGGTACACATTATTTATACTCAGTACCAGCTGTCATAATAGCAATCTAACAAATAACCGTTTGAAGATGACTCACCCTCCAAACATCTCTCCTAAAATGATTCTATCCAGCAAGCCCAACATAGAAGCCCACCTGAACTCATATGGGTTGAGTATTAAAACCCATTATCCTTTCCTCTGCCCAAGTATTCAATACCGTCTCATACTCTTACTTTTTCCCCCGATTCCAATCCCCAATTCCTCAGATAGGATCTCAATCCCTAGCTTCCCTCTCAATCCCTAACTTCATTCGATCTTCCCCTAATTGCTGCTGTGATTTCCCAATTCTTCCCTTCACCATTTCCCCCAAATCAACACTATCCAACCCTAACTTTCCTGTCATCATAACAAATATACTAACTGGTTTTATCTTCAAGCAACCTACACAACTTGACCTTCATCCAGTCAGCCTGCACGTAAACTGTTAATGATGGAAATTTGAAGAAAGCTGTATGATAATATTCATGTCCGTCAGATTAATTACAGGTGAAACAACTTAGAAACCTTGAAAAAGTTCAGTGAGCATAAACCTTGATGATTAGTTATAAGAACAGAAATCTCTAAGCTTTCATTAAGTCATATGATGAATTTGTCTTTAAATCAACATTCAAGAGATTATGCATTGTTCAGTCAATGTGCTTATTTATGCTGAAGCCATACCAATTCTTTGTTTTTCTAGGGTTGACAAATCAAATGAGGTGGGCAGCTCAAAACCAGAATTTGGTTAAAGTTTATATGCTGAAAAAAAAGTAGGCAAGAATCAACGGCTCATGGAAATTATTAAATCAGTTGCTTAAACACATACAATCCGTGGTATGTGGACCCTTACAGTATAAAACAAGTATCATTGATGAATGGCTACCTGATGAAAAATGAAGTGTACAAATGCTAAGAAGACGAAAGAGAAGTACCTGCTCCTAAATATCTGGTAGATAACCAACTAAATCTGCACTTAAGCTACAAAGCAATTGATCCAGAAAAGAGGAATGGGACTCCAACTTAAGTTCATCTCCATCAGCTAAATCTTCAACAAGCTTAGCTTCTTCCAATAGTGAACCACGCTCGTTTTTTACACAGTACCGTGTATATGCAAGTCCTTTTGAAGCTTTCGTAAATCGGCTTCTTTTTGTTCTTTCCTCAACATCCAGTAGCACAGATGGTCTAAGCTTGTCTCTCAGCTTTCGCAATTTAGCATCAGTCACAGCCAAAAACCCCATGCAGGCAGTCAAAACAAGTTGGCTGCTGTCAAATGTTGAGACAACAAGGGATTGCAGCAAATTGATGGCATCCCCAGCATCCTTAGTTGTAATTAAGGCAGCACCTACAGTAAACTTTAAGTAACTATTGCTTTTTGGGTTCCTCATCCACATTTATGCTTCAGATATTTTTTAAAAGTACAAAATCTTGATACCATAACTCCATCAAAGCAAGGGCCATACGAAATAGCATAACACGATTTCCTTCAAATATAAGTACATCCCAAATGCGAAGAACTGGAGACCAAGAAATCCATTACAAAGTAAACATGGTTACGAATAAAGAGAGTGCAAGGCGCTCAAACTTGCAGCAAAGTTTTAATCTTACCACTCTCCCAAGGAAGCGTATTAATAAAAATGGAAAGAAACCAAGGTGCGCATATCCATGCCACCTGCACTCCCAAGTAATCCAGATGATTGACTGTAGATGAAATAAAAATCACAAATATTATTTCATGTAAAGCATGAGAAATAATTAATATAGAGAATGCTTAAAAGGAGCAAACCCAATTTGGGATATCTTCCATGCATCAACTCATCGAATACAAGTTGGTCAACCTATGAAAATAGAAATATTAGAAGCACAAGTTATAAATTGGCAAATCTCTTTAAAAATACTACAATATCAGAGTGTTGGTTAACATGAAGAGAAGGAACATGGAGTATCATAAAAAAGACGCAATAAAAAAAAATAAAAAAACCTGATATTCTATCATTCCCTCTGTATGGTAACCTTCAAAGTAATCATCAATAATAGTCACCAAGGCCCTGAGAATACATTGAAGAAATCAGTCTTTAAGGCTGACCTAGCTATTCTTGTATCATGAGTATGCATGTGTCTATATATGCCTTTGCATAACAATTAGCACGAGAGAATAAGATGACTGTGTTTAGAAAGACGACACCTTTTTCATTTTGCATGGAAAAATAAATTATTTTTAGCACCATTAGGCAAAAGTTGGCCTAAAAAGCTTCTGCACACCCAAAATCATTTGAGGGTAAAACATACAATATTCTAGGGATATAAATAGCCACTTCCCGAAATTCATTATTTTTATAGAAAGCTACCTAAACTTACCAAAAGGCACTTTCCTCTGGCATCACAAGTAACAATAATCCAGTAAGAAATTCATTGGCTGCATGTGTTTGACGTCAAATTAGATGACAAGAATAAGTACAAGGAGTGTGGTTATTAAAAATATTTATCACTTGCAAAATGAGATTGTTAAGATCCATTAAGAGCAAATTTAAATCCTAGGTAAAATCGATGACATGCTAGACATAAGGTTTTTCAAGTTGCACTTAAAAAGTTCATGCTTACAACTTTTCTGGAAAAACAGATTTAGTAGGGAAAACCTCATGTTCTTACAATTTGGGAGCAATTTGTACACTTTTTAGGTTAAAAAAGTGTAATGCAACATAAGCACAATCATAATTTTAGAACATTAGATTTGTTCTCAAGGACCATGAGTTTTCAATCAACAGAATAATGGCCTCTTGGTGCCGTGCTTATAAAGCAACGGCATGACTGAAATGAAGGAGATAATACGAAATTGGATAATTTCTCTTTAAATCTAAAGAAAATTCTTAGATTATAAAGAACATAAGAGTGAAGATAGAACTGGAGTGAGTGAGAGAATAACGCTGTAATACAGATGGACAATTGTAAAAGTTACAACTAACAAGTAAGTTTCTAGTGATAAAGGAGAAGAAAATTGCCATATATGGGGCGAGTTTAAAAGAGAGACACCAATTAAAATTAACACTAAATCATTTTTACCAGTTGAACTCATTTCAGAGAATAAAAGCTTCAGATAATCAGTTACCTGACAGTAACCAACAGAGGGATTATGTCGTGCATATGCTAAAAGTAAACGCCTCAAGGAATCCCTATTCAAAGTTGGATGACCAGGAAAAGTACGCATTATATCCTGAAAACATAAGCAGAAGAGTTAACATAGGGAGAAATGCAAAAGCAATATAAAGCAAAAGAAGTAGAACCTATGAATTGATAACAATGAACTATAAAGTATACGGTGCATGTATCTAATGACCTTCTCAATCTGCTTCCTCCAATTTCTGAACAGACCAGATGAGTTGCTATGCTGATCATCATTTTCTTGAGCCAGCAACTCCTCATAATATCTTTCCACTCGTCGTGCCTTGACACCCATAACAGCTTGCCATACCTGCAAATGCAAGCCATAGTATAGAAAACAGGGCATTTTTCAACAAATAAATAGCAAGGCAATAATAAACGGAGTAGTTTCAACCTCACCTCCCCTGGAGATCCTTTGGTACTCCTCCATGGACAAGGCTTTCCAGCTCTTCTTTCCAAGGGAAAAAGGATTCTTGAGAGTCCTCATTGTCTTCACTTTCATTCACATTTTTATTTTTCATATGATTTCCTTTCTTAACCCTTGAATTCATCATACTCTCAATGCAACTAAGGACTGGTCTACTCTTGGCCCATCCTTTGGCCTTACTTGTCTTTGCATGATGTTCAAGGAAGATCTTCCATTTCTCCGATCTTTCCTCTTCCTCTTCCTGGTATAACAAATTACTATATCAATTTACCAAATAAAAAGAACAAACTACACATTATACATTAGAGACATTCTTTAGAGTAAATACAAGAACTAAACCTATATAGAAACTTTTACCTTACAAATATTAAGGCATTGTCGAGATGTTTGTATGTGTTGCGGTCTGACAGCAAATCCATAGGCATCCCTAACCACATTATCGCGCACATTCGGATGTATATTAAACCAGGGAACACATGGGTGCTCAAAAAACAAAGAAGAATTTGGAAAAGGAAATCATAAAAGAAGACCCGTCACTCAAAGATCCTGACCACTAACTATAGTAAACAAGTTGGATATCAGAATGTCTTGAAATTTAGACAAAAACATCAGGATTTATAAAGTTATCAATCTTCAAGTGTGCTAAATAATTAAGCAAAGGGGCATACTGGAATCACCCTTCAATGAGAGAAATTACAAAAATCCATCTAAAATTAACCAATACTCCACGTTCTTTTTAGCTCAAAATTCCCAAACCTATTCAAAAGAAAATTAATATTAGCTTGAAAAAAAAAGGTCACCTTTGTTTGTTTAGATAGATTCCCCCCCCCTAAAATTTTCTAACTGAAACAGTGAAAACTGAAACTAAGAAATTGTCAAATTCATGAAAAAGAATTAAGCTTTAATAAGCAAATGCAGGAACAACAAAACTGAAGTACCTCATTGGTTCGAGAGATTGAAGGAGATCGAAGTTCGAGTCCATCGTTTTCGGGTTGATCAACGGCTGGAATTGATTTCTTCTTTTCCTAATTTTTGTATGATCAACAGAAATTCATGTTTAATTAGTATGATTCGGAAGATCTAAGGATTTTGCCTGATTTCTACTAACAGAAACTTCATTTTAAAAAAATCAGGTGAGTAAGCTCCAAGTTCAAGCTGCTGGTTTTTTACTCGTTACAGACTTGGCACTTGTTAATTTAGCGGGTACGACAAAAGTGATTTTGTTTTGCCACGTGTAGAAATGTGAAGCGGTGGATTTAGAGGCAGCGCTTAACTTTGAGTCACAGATGGGTAAGGTTAGGTTTGACCATTTGAGTTTGACTGAGCAGGATCCACTACAGTGCTTGTAGACCTTACCGGTCAGTTAACCATTTAAATACACGTTGTCCTGTCTTTTCACTATATTTTTACTGTATAAAATTTTAAAAAGGATAAAGTATATAAATGGTCACTAATATTTGAATTAAGTTTTTGTTTTTCACTAAAATTTTAAAAGTAACAAATCAGCCATTAACATTATCAATTTGTAACAAAATGATCACTCCACTATCATCCCGTTAAATTGATGATTAGTAATGTTAATAAAAAGAATAATATTTAATTTATCCCTAAATTACTGCTAAAACATCAAAGAGGTGTTTAAACAATAATTTTATATCAAAATTGTTCTAATTTTCAATTTTTTTCAAACACCCCATCACCTCTCCCATATTCGAACAACCTTCCTTACAAAATCAAAAACCACACTTAAACAAACTCTCACCATAATTGTTAACACCTTTCCTTCCCTAATTGTTAACATCTGCAACCTTTTCAGCAACTTTACCGTATACGTTGGATCATCGTTTCTAGTTTGAGCTACAACAGAATCTGGGGCTGAATTGGATACATATAGATTCTGCTTCTGCATTATTTCAGTTTCTGAATTAGTAATCTTTGGTGTTGTCACTGTATAAGGTTTCGTGCTAGTTTTCGGTTAATTGGTGGATGTCAACTTAGTGGGAGTATGCAGCTGCTGTAACCTGTAATCGGGTCCGGGTTGATGGCAAGTCTTCCAGGTATAAAATTCACAAGTGTATAAAAAAGACGTTAAAAGTCAACAAATACAAGACTCAAAGAATGCAATATATAATAATCTAATGCTTAATTAGGCTTGCCAATAAATTTTTATGCAATGATAGGGTTGTCAAGGTTTTCAGCCATCTTAGAACCGATTGAAAATTTTAGCAAACCAGTGCACATTCCTGTAGAAAAATGCAAGTGTTTCCTCGTGTGGCTAAAGCATTTATGGTTGTAAAATCTAATGCTGAATTGTTATTTTTTCTTTTTGATTAAGTAATGCAGAATCTTATGAGCGTGCATAAAGGAGAAATTTCATTCATCCGAGAAGGTTCTAAATTTATGTTGATCATCACATGGAGAATCGACACTAGTCCCTATAATTAAATCCACATTGTGCTTTTAGCAGATGCCATATGTTGATTTGATTCACAAGTTTTCATATAATAATGCTCAAAACAAAAAACATCGAACCGAGTCAAGCTCAAATAGTGTGAAGCTCGAGCTTGAACTTAAATTTGTTGTTAGAAACTGGACACGAGCTCAGTCGAAAACACTATTATTTAAGCTCAAGCTTCACTAGAAATAAAACTTAATCTATTCAAGCTTCGCTTGATTACATGATTTATATACTCAAACTCAAGCTCAAGCTCAAGCTCAAGCTCAAGCTCAAGCTCAAGCTCGTTTCATATATTAATTTTTTTATTTAAGCAATGATTATTTTGGAAAAAGTAAAAAAAAAATTAACATCAACCGAATTCAAAATTTTCAAAACATAAAAAAGAGGATTACAGTTGCTTTGAGGAAAAAGAAGCTGCCAAATCACCGGAAGAATTGCAAAGCATGAAGCACCTGAAGGATGAGAAAGAAGCGTTAGAAAGCTCAGCAACGGTGACCGGAGTAAACATCGGTGATCAATGATGAGGAAGAAACGATTTAACAAGAAGAGCAAAACAGGAACGAAAGAAACAAGATAGAACATAACCTCTGAATTTTATTAATTGTAAAGAATAAATCCCATAACAGCCAATACAATAGACCCAACTATATAACCCAACAGAGGCCTAACAAACTCAAACAGACTTCTAACCAACTCAAACGATTAGCTACAGTAGAAACAAACTAGAAATTCTAATACTCTCCTGGTTTTCCCTTTGCCTGCTATTAGAATACTCTAATACTCTTCTGGTTTTTCCCTTTGCCTGAACCTCTTCATAAGACTTAACACCAAGTTGATAACAAATTCGAGGGAAGGCAGCTCGTGGCACAGGTTTAGTCAGAATATCTGCAGCCTGCTCACTGCTGGGAACATAGTTAACAACCAACTGCCCAGTCAGAACACGTTCTCGAGCAAATTACATGTCAATTTTAACATGCTTCACACGAGCATGGTGTGTAGGATTTACAGCTGAGGTGTTATCACACCAAACAACTGGCTTCCCAAGAACAACACCACCAATTTCATTCAACAACTGTTCTCCATATTAATTCAGAAACATCATTAGCTAGACTCCTGTATTCAGCGTCACATGTGGACCTTGACACTACACTTTGTTTTTTAGAGCTCCAAGCAATTGGGTTGCCACCAATATAATGCAGCAGCCAGAAGTGGACCTGCGATCTTCAACAGATGTTGCCCAGTCAGCATCAGAATAGCAGACAATATGAAAAGGATTTCCAGCAGAAAAAATATCCATGATCCAAGGTTCCCTTAAGATACCTTCAGACTCATGGCATTATGCACACGTAGGCCTGCCACACACTTCTAAACAAAATGGTACTGTTGAAAGAAAACATAGGCAAATAGTAGAGGTTGGTCTTACCTTGTTAGCTCAAGCATCCATGCCTCTTACCTTCAGACTCCATGCCTCTTATTAATACGTTACCTTCAAAAGCTTTGCTTGGTCAGTCCCCTTATGAAAAATTGTTTAAAGTGTGTCCTGATTATAGGTTTCTAAAGGTTTTTGGTTGTTTGGCTTTTCCTTTTTTGGGTCCTTATAATAAAAAAAAGCTACAATTTTGATACTCTGAATGTGTTTTTCTAGGCTACTCGCCTAATCATAGGGGTTATAAGTGTTCAAGTTCTACAGGAAGAATTTATATTTCAAGGCATGTCAAATTTGATGAGTGTGTTTCCCTTTGTTTCTAGTTCTAAGTTCTCTGTTCATGAGTCTCATTTGAAAGCAAAATGTGTTCACTGTCATAAACAAAGATCTTTCAATATACACTCAATGTTGAGTCCTTTGGCTAAGGTTATACAGTCAGGTTCTGGTTTTCTTCCTCACGTGTCTGTTGTTTTGTCCACATCACCTCATCACTCTACTGCTATTCCATCTCCATTACATTCATCACCACATAATATTACTACTATTCCATCTCCTTCACATTCTTCACCACATAGCACTACTGCAATTCCATCTTCTTCACATTCATCACCACCTAATGCTTCTGCTATATCACCTCCATCGCCACTGTCCCCACATATTTCCACTTCTACTACTATTCCATCTCCATTACCGCCATCACCATATAATACTTCTGATGTGCAATCTTCGTCACCATCATTATCACATAATGCTCCTGCTATTTCATCTCCATCACCATCATCATCTCATTCCTCTTCTTCTATATCACAATTCATCTTCTTCATCATCCACTGCCCCTCAAACTTCATCAGTTCCATTGTGTGTGAAAAATGCTCATCCTATGGTTACTCGTGGAAAATCTGGAATATTTAAGCCCAAGTCCTTTTTGGCTTATAGTGTCTCTCAGGAACCTCTTGATGTGCATACTGCCTTGAAAGATCCAAACTGGAAGCCGGCTGTTCACAATAAGTATGATGCTTTAATTAAGAATGGCACCTGGGAGCTTCAAGTTTTGCCACCTACAAGGAAGGCGATTGGATGTAAATGGTTATTTAAGATGAAGAGGAAACCGGATGGTTCTGTGGAGAGGTTCAAAGCGCGACTGGTAGCTAAAGGCTTCTCTTAAACAGCAGGTTGTGATTTTCGTGAGACCTTCAGTCCTGCGGTGAGATCTAGTACAATCAGAACTGTGTTGGCTACTGTTGTGATGAAGAAGTGGACAGTCGGGCAAATTGACATAAATAATGCCCTTTTAAATGGCGAGTTAGCTGAAGATATTTACATGTCTCAGCCTCCTGGTTTGAACAAAAAGGGTCACATGGAGAGCATCTTGTTTGTCACCTCAAAAAGGCACAATATGGGCTTAAGCAGGCTCCAAGGGCCTGGTTTAACACACTTAAGGATTTTTTGATCACTAAGCTTGATTTTAAAGCTTCCAAAGCTGACATTTCTTTTTTCATCAAGACCTCCAATGAGTCAACAGTGTTGCTTATGGTGTATGTTGATGTCATTACAAGAGGTAATACTGCTGAGGTTGATGATGTTGTTCTGTAGATAAATTCTGAATTTTCTCTGAAAGATTTGGGTCATCTTGGTTTTTCCTTGGGATGAAGGTTCAAGCATATCCTGAAGGGGTTCTGCTCAATCAAAGGAAGTATGTGCAACAGCTGCTGGAACGAACTGATATGCTGTAATCAACTCCTATTCCAACACCCATGGTTGTCACTCCCAAGCTTGTTGCTCATGGATATTAGAATACTTTAATAATAAGCATAAGTTGAATCTCTACAATCAGAGCTAGATGTCCTCAAAACTCAATGCAATAAATTGAAACATTTTATATCTGGAGAAGTAGTGGAAAAAAAACCTCAAAAACACGTAGTTCAACTAAATGGTGACCTTAAGAAGAAGGAAAATACATTTACTAGCCTGGAAAAGAAGCTGAAAGAGAGCAATGGAAGAGCAACGGTTTCTTATGGAACAAGAGCACCGTTAAGAAACAATAGATCTCCCACGGTTCCCAGTAGTTCTAAAGGTTGCAGATGTTAACAATTAGGGAAGGAAAAATGTTAACAATTATGGAGAGGGTTTGTTTAAGTGTGATTTTCGTTTTGTAAGGAATGTGGTGGTTCAATATAGGGATGTGGTAGGGTGTTTAAAATAAAACTGAAAATAAGAAAGTTTTAGGAGTAAATTAGATATAAAATTATTGTTCAATGACCTATTTGAGGTT